GCATGATGCAGTAATCATAATCCACTCCGCCAGATGGTATCCTTATTTATTCCCTAACTTTGAAGCCTGAGTGGTTTCCTCAAGGTGACCCAATCATGGATTTCTTTATTGAAATATTTTATTTTGATTCAATGGGTAGGCATCTTTTTTTAAAAGGGGGGGAATAGACATAATGGAAAGAGAAAGACAGCATAAATATAAATATTAGAGTATATATAATAGCAAAATTTCACAGGGTGGGGGAAAAGAGAGACAGAAATGGACAGGTGGGCTAGCCCCCCATATTTGGCTTTTATCTGCCCCATCCAATGTAGCACTTTTGGGTACAAGGGACTGTTTTCTCTACGAAGTTTTAAGCAAGTTTAAGTTTATAGAAATATATGTTTATAGAAAAACTAACGAATGGATGTTAAAATATAATTATAAGCAAAATAATAAGGGGAGAACAGGTGAGCTGACGTGGTTGGATTCCTGGGGAAGGGGGGGAGAGGGTGCCTGTAGGATATATATACTGCATGAAATTTCTCATTTCTTTGGACTTGCTGTGGACTGACCACGCAAGTGCCTTCTGCTATCCGGAGAGCAGAATAAACGCTTTCTCTGAATCAACCTCGGTGTCATTTTGACTTCCTCCCTCCCTCCCGGGAGCAATGCAGACCCCACCAGTCGGTAAAGTCTAATAAGGCTACACTTAAAGGCTGGACTACTGCAGTGTGCTCCACATGGGGCTTCCCTGGATCCAGAACTCTGTTAGTGCAGAATGCTACAGCACGATTGCTTACAGGAGAGGCCTTAGCACATGCTCGGAGATCTGCACTAGTTGCTGATCTGCTACCGGGCTAAATTCAAGATGTTGCTATTAGTATACAAAGTGTCAGGCTTTGGAGAATCAGCTTCCTCCCCTGTGGCAATAGTTAAAAAGATCAAATGAAAGGAACTCTTACCAGTTAGAATCTTTAATAATCACAGCAAGAGAACAAATAACACATCTCCTAGAAATGGCAGTGCTCCCAATTAAGGGTCATTCCCTCCCCCTCCACCCTTATTAATGTACGCCACTCCTACGTATTGTAATCTGAATTTGTAACCTCTGCGCTCTCTGTTCTGACACTTTCTGAGCTCTTTGTGACTTTGGAGATGGGGGGGGGTGAATGCTGTCCAGAGACTGTGAATCTGTTACCTCTCTCTCCCCCAGTGTTTCTTCTTCTTCTAGCTGTTCCCCACCCAGTATTTCCCAGCTTCTGCCTTCTGAACTGTGCCCCTCTGCAAACCACTGTTCTAAATCTATACTGTCCTCCTGCTCCTGGGAAGATTCAGGATCGGGGGAGGGGGTGGCTCCCACCATTCTTCCTCAGTGCAGCCCTCCTCAGCACGGTCCCTGACACAAAGTGTAGAACCTTACATTTGTGGCTACTGAAATTCATTCTGTTCTCCAATCTGTTAAGATCATCTTGAATCCCAGTTCTATCTTCTACAGCATTAGCTCCCCCTCCCAGTTTGGTGTCATCTTCAGATTGGACGAGCAACCCTTCATCCAAGTTGTTTATTAAGACATTGAACAACAAGAAGCCCTGGAAATAACCCTGTGCCATTCCACTTGTCACTTTTTTTCCTGGATGATAAGGAACCGTTAATGAGTACTCTTGGTGTTATGTACTGAAGTTCTCACCCTGGGCCAGCAGGGGGATACTGTAGATAGTTTTCACTCAGGTCCACATATGCAAATAAGGGATTGAAAGTGACGTTCAGTGATTGGCTAGTTACAGAAAGTGGTTACTCTTGCGTTGTAGTGGAGCTCTATATAAGCAGGCTGGATGAACCTGCTGTGGTTTTGGTGTTTTTTTTTTGTAGGGAAGGGAGGAATACCGGAAAAAGAGTGGGAATGCAGTTGGGTGTTTGGGATCCCAAAGAACTGCACATCATACAATAGGTGCAGCCAAGGGGGGGGCAGCTGCCCTCCTAACAAAGGGCCTGACCCCCCCCCCCCCAGAAATCCTGCTCTCAGTCTTCATCCTGAGCCCTTTTTTTGCTGGTCTCATTTGTTCTCAACAGTAGGAGTGGGGAGAAGCCATGGGAATTAGCTAAATAATAATAATAATAATAATAATAATAATAATAATAATAATAATGGGACGTGGGTGGCGCTGTGGGTAAAAGCCTCAGCGCCTAGGACTTGCTGATCGAAAGGTTGGCGGTTCAAATCCCCATGGCGGGGTGCGCTCCCGTCGTTCGGTCCCAGCGCCTGCCAGCCTAGCAGTTCGAAAGCACCTTCGGGTGCAAGTAGATAAATAGGGACCGCTTACCAGCGGGAAGGTAAACGGCGTTCCTTGTGCTGCGCTGGCTCGCCAGAGCAGCTTCGTCACGCTGGCCACATGACCCGGAAGTGTCTGCGGACAGCACTGGCTCCCGGCCTCTAGAGTGAGATGAGCGCACAACCCTAGAGTCTGTCAAGACTGGCCCGTACGGGCAGGGGTACCTTTACCTTTACAACAACAACAACAACAACAACAACAACAATTTATTTATATCCCGCCCTCCCCAGCCAAAGCCGGGCTCAGAGCGGCTAACAACAGTAAAAGTAACACAGTTTACATAAAATCACAATCAATTAATTGAAATACATTCTAAGATCAATTCATTCTAAAATCAATTCAGAATCAAATTAATGGCAACCATTGGGCTAGAGTTCTGTGAAGATTGCCAGAGGAGGGGGTCAGGCTGCGCCTTGGCCAAAGGCCTGGTGGAACAGCTCCGTCTTGCAGGCCCTGCGGGAAGATGTCAAGTCCTGCAGTGCCCTAGTTTCTTGTGACAGAGCGTTCCACCAGATCGGAGCCACAGCTGAAAAAGCCCTGGCTCTGGTGAAAATGGTGAAGACTGCTACTCTTTTTGGTAGCATAATTATAAGTCTGCAGAGAGACAGGGAATGCAGCACGGATATTGTTCTTAAGTCCTTAGGAAAGGAATTGAATACACACACACACACACACACACACACCACACACACACACAGTGGTACTTTGGGTTAAGGACTTAATTTGTCCTGGAGGTCCGTTCTTAACCTGAAACTGTTCTTAACCTGAAACACCACTTTAGCTAATGGGGCCTCCCACTGCTGCCATGCCGCCGGAGCACGATTTCTGTTCTCATCCTGAAGCAAAGTTCTTGACCCAAGGTCCTATTTCTGGGTTAGCGGCGTCTGTAACCTGAAGCGTCTGTAACCCGAGGTACCACTGTGTATGTGTGTGTGTGTATATATATGTGTGTGTGTGCGTGTGTGTGTGTGTGTGTATATATATATACACACTTCACCACTTCTCCAGTGGTAATTCTGTATTGATTGTTTTGGATGTTGTATGTGATGCTAATAAAAGGTTTGATGAAGATATTTCTTCAGTTGCAGGAGGCCTTTGGCTGGGACCCCTACATCCGCATCTTTGCAGAGTACCAAAAGATAACCTCCATCTCAAATGACAACACCTTCAAGATGAATCAGTGGGCAATACGCTTCTCTGCAGAAGTAAAGAAGGACCTGGGCCCTTTCTTTAAAGCCTGGGGGTGGCCGATTACGGATGAGCTCATTCAGGAGCTGGCCAGATCCTTCGGTCCCTGGGCAGGGGATCCAATGAAGGAGTATGAATAGTCCTGAGGAAGCACAAGCGAACAGAGGTCGAAACTGGCTAAACACAGTGAGCTTGCACAAAATCGACCCCTCGCAACACAAATTCCTTTGTAGTGATTCGCTTGCCAGCTACTGATGATACGGAGCAGTTTATTTGGCTGCTACTACTGCCTTTAAAAAAATAAGCACCTCTTCTTGAGTTGCCATTCAGTGCTGTACCCGAAGGAGCCTGGTTTATGGGCCTCTCCTGACTCGTATTTTACCACTGTTGTATTCTGCAGCTGTGGTGCAGCACATTTAGCAAAGCTAAGCAGGGTCTGGTGTGGTTTCAAATTGGATGGGGGACTTGCGTGTTGAGATTTATGCATTGCAGGGGGGTTGGACTATGACACAATAATAGTGCATTGGTGGTGGGTTTACCCCCCTGCTTTATTGTTTTACTTTTTGATTCCCTCCCCCTCTTTTTTTCTTTTTCCTTTCTCCTCCTGTGATGAGGCTGTATTTTAATATTTTAATGTTTCAATATTTTAATGTTGTATTTTAATCTTGTTTTTAAGTTGTATTCATTCAACTTGTTTTTATTATTGCGTTTTAGCCGCCCTGAGCCCGGCCTTGCTGGGGAGGGTGGGGTGTAAATAAAAATTATTATTATTATTATATTATTATTTTGAATATTTTAAATTGGATTTTAAATGTGTTAATACAAACCCAAGGGGGAGAAAATCATGTTAGCAAAAGAAGATTTGGGGCACATAAGACAGACATATCAGCCTCATTAACTGAAGAGATTTACATCAAAAAAGTATTGTCATTAGTGTCCTTATAGTATTTAAGAGCACATTTTACCAGGGAAAACTAAAAGGGTGAAACCTGCATATAACCTCTCTATAAAGCTACCAGGGTCACATATATATCGAAGCCCCTTTCCTATTTAGGTATAACAGGAAAGTCTCCCTTATACTTTCAAATTGCTTTCTTAGCAGTTCCCCTAAGCACACAGTACTGACAAACTAAAGGTAAAGGTACCCCTGCCCGTACGGGCCAGTCTTGACAGACTCTAGGGTTGTGCGCTCATCTCACTCTATAGGCCGGGAGCCAGCGCTGTCCGCAGACACTTCCGGGTCAGGTGGCCAGCGTGACAAAGCTGCATCTGGCGAGCCAGCGCAGCACACGGAACGCCGTTTACCTTCCCGCTGGTAAGCGGTCCCTATTTATCTACTTGCACCCGAAGGTGCTTTCGAACTGCTAGGTTGGCAGGCGCTGGGACCGAACGACGGGAGCGCACCCCGCCGCGGGGATTCAAACCGCCGACCTTTCAATCGGCAAGTCCTAGGCGCTGAGGCTTTAACCCACAGCGCTACCCGCGTCCCCACTGACAAACTAAATGTTCAAAAAAGGCATGTCCCATATTTTTTTGTCTAACCCACCATTCTTGCTGAATACTGATGTTTTCCAATGGCTGGACAAGTAAATCCCATCAAATACAACAGCAGTTTCTTCTGAGTAACCAAACATAGGATTGTGTTGCAAGATGGGCAGAATTTATAGAGCGCAATGTTGATAACAACAATAAAACTGCTACCACCTAGAAATGTGTCACATGTTTCATTTTATTTAAGTTTTGTGTACAGCTTTTTTAAAAAATAGATCTGGAAAAAATAGAACATCTTCTCAATTCACCACCAATTTCTTTTAAGAACTTCACAACCTGTGAACAGAATCGGCAGTGAGAGGACTTTGTGAGCATCTCTGGTTGGGAGACGATTTTATACATCCTTCCTCTATCTTGGGGATAAAACTAGCTCTCTCCGCAATCAGCTGCACACTAGTTACAGGAACCATTGAAAAGATCCACTTTCTTCTTCCCATAAAGTTCAGCTAGGATTTTCTGGAGGGTCTCCAAGCTGTATTCCTTGACTTCATTCTCACTGTTTTTCGCTAGGGCAGCCCAGGATTTTCTGTGCTGGTTATCAAGCACACAGCAAGCTGCCGACCAGATGTGGCTGGGCTTATTGACCCTGAGGTCCGAGATATACTCATCCCCGGGCACAGCTCCCACGAGGACGTACATATCATGGCAAGCCTGGGCTTCTTTCTTGAGGAGACTCTCGTGCTCGGCCCAGGCACCTTCGTTGAGCTTGCTATACTGGGGCACGATATTGGTCAAAGTGGAAGTGGCCGCTCTGCTGTCTTCATCCGGTTGGTGGCTCACTGGGTTCAAGTGCCCCTTTTCAATGCTTAAGGCCTGGGCATAATCGTCGAAAGTGGCCTGGCTCTTCTTAATCCCTGTGGCGGCGATGTTGGTTTCACGCTCGTCTTCCATGCCCTTCCCCAAAGTCGGGTCTACGAGCTGAAAAACAACAAGGAAAATATGTCAACTGCTCCCTGCTCAGACATGCAGTGGAACCAGGCAGAGGGCCTTGTCGGTAGTGGCGCCCACCCTCCCTTCAGATGTGAAGGAAATAAGTAGCTATCCTGTCTTTAAAAGGATAGCCCTGTTCAGGGAAGTTTTTAACATTCAATGCTGTATTGTTTTTAATACTTGATTGGGAGCCGCCCAGAGTGGCTGGGGAAACTCAGCCAGATGGGCGGGTTATAAATAAATTATTATTATTATTATTAACCAAACCTTTGAGACTGAGGCTACATCCACGCCATACAGCACTATCGTGTCACTTTGACACGTCTTGATTTCCTGCAAAGATTTCTGGGAACTTTAGTTTGTTAAAGGTGGTGAGAGTCATTAGGAGACACCCCCCCAATACCCCCTCCCAAAGCTACAATTCCCAGAGCCCACTGGGAAGAGGGATTGGTTGCTAAGCCACTCTGAGAATTGTGCAGAAATCAGTGATGATAGGCTGCACATTAACTTTTACTCAGAGTAGACCTATTGAAATCAATGACCATTAATAATAATAATAATTTTATTATTTATGCCCCAGCCATCTGACTGGGTTGCCCCTGCCACTCTGGGCAGCTTACAGCATATATAAAACATAGTAAAATATCAAACTTCCTGATACAGGGCTGCCTTCAGATGTCTTCTAAAAGTCAGATAGTTGTTTATTTCCCCGACATCTGATGGGAGGGCATTCCACAGGGAGGGTGCCACTTCCGAGAAGGCCCTCTGCCTGGTTCCCTGTAACTCTGCTTCTTGCAATGATTAAGGAAGGTTTGTCCATTTTAATGGGTCTACTCTTTGTGTAAAAGCTAGTTGGGCACAACCTAATAAGCACAAATGTATTTGTTTATAAAAATGGTTGTATACCACAATTTCATAAAGCGTATCAAATAAGTTTATAACAATTATATACGTACATAGTAAAATCATGTAAAGAACTCGAACAGATTCCCAGCTAATTATCACAGAAAATGTTTATCTTTGTTGTCCACTTAAGCCTGGCGGCAAAGAAACATATTTAAGCAGATGTTTAAAGGTTAATCTATAGAAGACGGCTGCTGAATCTTGCAGAAGCAGTGAACCTGGGAGGGGGGCTACCTGGTGTTAGTGAACTACAACTCCCATCGGCCCTAGCGAGCAAGAATGATGGGAGTTGTAGTTCAGCCACTGGTGACACTGGTTCCCTGAACCTGCTCTGCTGGGTGGCATTCCACAGGGATGGGACGATGACACTGAATTATCAGCTGAGCCTCACCAAATATGGTGCAGAAAAACAGGTGGCAAACCGGAAGGTCCTTTCGGATTGGGCAGGTGAGAAGTCCCCTTACCTGCGGCTCTATCATCCATCCTTGATATCTGTGTCCCTTCCCAGGTTTGCATTTGTAAGCGGAGTAGATGGGAATCCGCTTCTCTCGGTCGTACATCGTGGCAAAGCGATAGGCGTTCCTATAGAACTGGCAGATCTTGGCTTCTCTGGGTGGCGTCAGAGACTCTCCGGGGGGCATCTTGTCCAAGAAGAACTCGAGGCAGTTCTTAAAATCCTGGACCACCTCTCCCTTTGCGGCCGCGAGAAAATGTGCAGCCCCATAGAGGAGGAAAGGCAGCAACATTGCTAAGCTGTTTTTTACCGTCCTATAGGTACCGTCTGAAACCTAGAGGTATCAGAAGCAAATGGTCACTGTCGGGATCTTATAAAGAAGAGGTCAGCAAGAATTTGTCCCCGGGGTTTTTTGTGTGTGTGAAAATGTCAGATGTGGCGGAGAAACGGGGGTTGGTTGGTGCAGGGATATCAAAAAAGCAAAGGCAGCCATGAGTCTGATAAGGAACATCAGAGCCACTCCCTCTCTGAGCTTACACCACAATTTGCAATTCAAGCCGGAGGAACGTGGGAATACAAATCCCTGTTTGAATTTGCACACCAGAGGTATTGATAAGGCACAGGAAGGGGGGGGGGGATATGTAATGTGTTTGTTGTTAATGCGGTCTGCTTCCACTGAATTTTGAAGTCACTATAGCAGGCACCAGAAAGAACTTCATATGTTTAGTTGGAATCTCCTGTCTTGTAATTTGAAATTATTGGTTTCGGTCCTCCTCTCTGAAGCAGCAGAAAACCAGCTTGCTCCATTCTCCATGTGGCAGTCCTTCAGCTATCACATCACCTGTCTTCTTTTCTCCAGGCTAAACATGCCCAATAAAATTAGTTTGAGTTTCTTTAGCTTACCTACCAATAAGACTTTCCCAGTAGTGATGTATGGAAGTGAGAGCTGGACCATAAAAAGGCTGATCGCTGAAAGAATTGATCCTTTTGAATTCTGGTGCTGGAGGAGACTCTTGAGAGTCCCATGGACTGCAAGAAGACCAAACCTCTCCATTCTGAAGGAAATCAGCCCTGAGTGCTCACTGGAAGGACAGATCCTGAATCTGAGGCTCCAAGACTTTGGCCACCTCATGAGAAGAGAAGACTCCCTGGAAAAGACCCTGATGTTGGGAAAGATGGAGGGCACAAGGAGAAGGGGATGACGGAGAACGAGATGGTTGGACAGTGTTCTCGAAGCTACCAGCATGAGTTTGACCAAACTGCGGGAGGCAGTGGAAGACAGGAGTGCCTGGCATGCTCTGCTCCATGGGGTCACAAAGAGGCAGACACGACTTAACGACTAAACAACAACAAACCGATAAGACATCTCCTTCTTCAGTAGACAGGTGTTCAGACAGCTGTTAACAGCTGCAGTTCTTTGACACAGAGCAGCAGCCGATCCTGATTTTTATGTGTATCTGTCACGTCAACAGAGTGGTTTTTCATTTTGCTTGTGGTGAATTTCAAATCTTTGGGATTGTTGGGTGCCTCTGGGGTAGAGAAGCCTGCCTCTAGCATGCCCCCAAGCAGAAAGGAAGGGTGTTTTGCATGAAGTTCCAGCTAGATCAGTTGCTGCCTCTGAAGTTCACTGAAGCAGATTTTCTGGCCGCAGTCTGCTTCCCCTCCCATTGCATCCAGTCCTATTTCCAGCCTTTCTGTAAATTGAGAATAGTTTAATTCAGGCATGGCCAAACTTGGTGGTCCAGCTGTTTTGGGACTACAATTCCCATCATCCCTGACCACTGGTCCTGTTAGCTAGGGATGATGGGAGTTTTGGGACTACAACAGCTGGAGGGCCAACTTTGGCCATGCCTGGTTTAATTGAACAAAATAAAGTAGAAATAAAAAGCAGATGAAGAAGAAAATATATATTACAGTGTATCATTTTATATGCAAACAACTACAATACCATTGCCTAGGATATAAGCATATAAATGTTATTATTATCCAGATACATATATGTTCATAACCTACTATATGTTTTGTAAACACGATCCAAATGTCATTATACTTGTCCAGAAAAAGTCTACACTTTTAAGCGATCTGTCCATAAGTTGCGAGTCTTGTCATATCTCAAAATCCATTGACCAAAAAGAAGCCATAGATTTGTCTTTCCAATGCATCAATCTCTGTCTTTGGGCTGTAAGTAAGGGCATGAAAAATCAATTTACGCTGCCCAGTTGTACAATACAATAGGTTTGTAATTCCAAATAATATTTTCCTCTGTCCTATTTCCAGTCTTGTGTATGTGTGTGAATGTTAAAAACTTTGGGGAGATTTGTAGGAGAGAATCTGGAGGCTCAACAAGTCTCTCTCTCTCGCCACTGGACCAGAGCCAAGGCTAGTCTAGTCCATTGCCCTGATCTCTGCAATCATAATTAATAATAATAATAATAATAATAATAATAATAATAATAATAATAATAATAAAATTATTTATATCCTGCCCTCCCCAGCGGAAGCCGGGCTCAGAGCGGCTAACAACAGTAAAAGTAACACAGCATTCTAAAATCAATTCATTTTAAAGTCAAATTAATGGCAACCACTGGGCTAGATTTCTATGAGGATTACCAAAGGAGAGGGTCAGGCTATGTCCTGGCCAAAGGCCCTGCGGAAAGATGTCAAGTCCCGCAGGGCCCTAGTCTCTTGTGACAGAGCATTCCATCAGATCGGGGCCACAGCCGAAAAAGCCCTGGCTCTGGGCAAGGCCAGCCTAACCTCCCTGTGGCCCAGGATCTCCAAGATGTTTTTATTTGAAGACCGTAAGGTCCTCTGTGGGACATACCAGGAGAGGCGGTCCCGTAGGTACAAGGGTCCTAGGCCGTATAGGGCTTTAAAGGTTAAAACCAGCACCTTAAACCTGATCCTGTACTCCACCGGGAGCCAGTGCAGCTACAGATAGCACTACAGATATGTACTTTTGTATCATTTTAGTGTGGGCATGTGCATTCTGTGACGGGAGATTTTGTAAGCTGTTTTTCAGCCATCCCCAGCTTGATGTGCTTCCAGTCCCATCCAGTATGAGCATACTGGGTGCAGCTGATGGGAGATCCAATACACTTGGGAGATATTTGGGAAGGTTGCTTGGGATGCCTCTAACCCCCCTTACAATGGCAGCAACCTTTGGTAGCATAGCTAACCAATTAAAAGATTTTCCAGGCTGCAATGTCCTTGACCACCTTGCCCGGCAGTAAGGCCCATTTAACTCAATGGGGTGTCTCCTGAATAAAGACTGCACTGGGACCCCGGTTCCTTGCTTAGCCTTAAATCAGTGCCAATGATTTAACATTTTGAAAGACTCTCTAATCCTGAGTCAGATCACTATTCCTGCTAGCTCAGGGCCAAATGTGATTGTGATGTCCCTTTGCATTTACAACACAGGCTTTTTTTCTTTTTAAATGCAAAGTGTATCAGCTGCAGGGCTGATAATTAACAAGATTTACTCTCTCTGTAGTTCCCTTTCCCCTTGCCTTTCTTCTTCCTTTATTGCATTTACATCCCAAATTTTTCTTCCCAGGATCTCAGGTTCCCCCTCTCTTGTTTTGTTTTGTTTTGCTTTGCTTTGAATTTATGTAGTTAAGCCTAGAATGGTGATTCCGTCTCCCCACCTCCAATATTGAATTTATTCTGTGTTTGTCAAATTTCTGATTTTTGAATGTAGCGGCCTGCTGTGCATTTTGTATATTTGTATTTGGACATCTTGAAATTTTGCAGAAAGCTGCTTTGGGTACAGCTCATTGCGGGAAAGCGGTATATAAGTAAACTCAATAAGTAAAGCAATCTCCACAACAGCCCTGTGAGGTACTTTTGGTTGAGAGGCCAGCCAGCGAGCTTCATGGATGAGGATTCGAACCCAGGTTCCCAAGTCCTAGTTCAGCAATCTAACCACTGCATTATTAGCTCTCATTGCTATTCTTCTTCTTTGGCAATTACTCATAAGATTGTCTTCCATGAACACTGTCTTAACAGTGGGTCTGTAAGTGACTGTGGAGGCCAATTCTGGATCCACACGTCCTTCCACAGTGGGGTCATAGGTTTCTGGGCGCGAGTTGATCAAGGTGTGGATTTGCTAAGCATGCTTTCATCTTAGCACGTTTCTCCCTTGCGTCCCGAGTTCGAGTGTCTTCAAAGCCCATGACATCTTTGGTAAAGGCTGTTCTCCAATAGGAGCACTCGCAGGCCAGTGTTTCCGAGTTGTGGGTGTTTATACTACATTTTTTTAGATTTGCCTTGAGAGAATCTTTAAACCTCTTTTGTTGACCACCAGCATTACACTTTCCATTTTTAAGTTTGCAATAGAGTAGATGCTTTGGAAGATGATAATCAGGCATCCGAACAACATGAACAGTCCAACAAAGCTGATGTTGAAGAATCATTGACACTGGTGATCTTTGCTTCTTCCAGTACAGTGCTATTAGGCTGCCTGTCTTCCCAAGTGATGTGTAAATTTTTCCAGACACCACTGATGGAATCTTTCGAGGAGTTGGAGGTGGCGTTCATAAGTGGTCCATGTTTCACAAGCATATAGTAAGGTTGGTAGTACAATAGCTTTGTAAACAAGCATTTTGGTTTCCCTGTGAATGGCCTTTTACTTTTTCCTCATTGCTATAGTAGTAGTCTTCTCTTCTTTGGCGATCCCTCATAGCCAAGTAAGATTGTCTTCAATAAACACGGTCTTAACAATGAGTCCATAAGTGACTGTGGAGGCCAGTTCTGGATCCACACATCCTTCCACAGTGGGGACATTGGTTTCCGGGCGGGAGTTGATCACAGTGTGGATTTGCCGAACGTGCCTTCCTCTTAGCACGTTTCTCCCTTGCGTCCTGAGTTCGAGTGTCTTCAAAGCCCATGACACCTTTGGTGAAGGCTGTTCTCCAACTGGAGCACTCGCAGGCCAGTGTTTCCCAGTTGTCAGTGTTAATACTACATATAGTAGTAGTATGACTTGCTTTACCCCAGCAGGTCCCAGGGTGGGTTCAGCAACATAAAATTCAGTTTTTAAAACAGTTAAAACAAATTAGGAATAGGATATTATTACACCACCATTTGCCTTTTTAAAAAATCTGCATATTAAAAATCAAAGGTGCATTTAATGGGACATCTGGGGTGGACCCAGATTAAAGGAACCCCCCCTTCCCCTCACAAAGTTACAATTCCCAGAGGCAACTCTGAGAATTGTAGCTCTCTGAAGCACCCTAACAACTCCCGGAACCCTTAACAAACTACATCTCCCAGGATTCTTTGCAGGAACCCACGACTGCTTAAGGTGGTATCCTAGTGATGTGAATGTATGGG